CCCGAATCTCCCGAAAAAGATTCCCCAAACAACCTAATAAAGAACAAAAACAAAATAAACCCTTGTGTATTCTGTGAAGAACAAAACCCATATCCTTCTCTCCTTCTCCATTTCCCCCAATCCCATTCTTTTGTGTTTTCGGTGTTTGTCTCCATGCAAACCTAATGCCTTTCCTGTCTAAAAAAATACAAAAGCCAATGGATGAACCCAACTATGCGACACTGGCATCAATGAACTGTAACAGTAATGGAAAAACGGATACCCAAGAGGATCTCAAGCTGATGGAGCCGGCCACGTTCTTGGAGGATAGCACCTTTTTGAGCAAAGTGAAGCATATCAACATGGGGGAGATCCCGCTACATCCGATGGGCCTTTCTCTCTCTGGCTCTGGCATGCAGCTTTTCGTGAAAATGGATGCCAGTGTACAAAAGGTAAGATGAGTCCTTGCCTGGTTTTGTTTTTAAGTTTGTGATCCCCCCCCCCCAAACAAAACCCCCCCCAAAAAAACCCCAACTGTTTTCGGTAATGCCATTCTCTTAATCTGCATCCTGGTTAAATGTTATGTTCGTTTTCATGCCCATTTGTCATTTACCCCTATTCCAAAATCATAAACTGAAGAAAACAACAATGGCAGAAGTAGAAACAACAACAACAAAAACAACAACAACAACAACGACAACAATAACAACAAAAACAAAAACAGACACAGCAGCAGCTGAAGCAGCTAACAGCAGCAGCAATAGTAAATGCAATACAGAAATTAGCAACTTTCGAATAATTTCATTCTTTGCTTTCATAGGCTATCGTGGATCAATCGACGCCAAAGAAATCGGCACAGAAGAAGAGAACGACAACAACAAAGAGCACCAAGAGAGCTGTCCAGAGTACAACGACTCAAACTGCAAATGTCCCCACTCCATTGTCGAGGTCTCATGATCCTAGTAGCTTCACTGGGAATCCATTGTCAGAACAGGAATTTCGCAAATATGGGTAGGTGTCTTAATAGATTAATAGTTTTTCAGATGGGTCCTGGCCTGCTGTGACCGCACGGTGGAAAATAAAATTCGTTTAAAGAATGATTATAAGCCTTCATTGTTTACACCCACCTCATCATCATAAATTGATATTTAAGAGGAGAGGGGTAAAATATAGAACGTTCGGGGGAAAAACCCCACAAGAACTATACATAAAACGTCAGACTGTTAACTTTCAACACTTGACAAATTTCTCTATTTTCTTCTTGAACATAACTTTAATTTCCTGGTGCTGGTGTAGTTGACGGTCTACTGCGAAATGACCGTCTACCGCAAGTCCCATCCGTTCAACCACGGTCTACCGCGATCAAGGCGGTCTGGCGTACCGTAGATCCTGCCTGGCTGGTCATGGTAATCATTGGGGCATTTACTAGGCCTATCAAAGGTGGTAGCGTTTACTACTGCAGTATGTGGGTGGGTGAATAGTTTCAATTTGCAGCGTTGTTTAGATCAAAGAAGTTTCAGGTGGTAAAGATTGGTTGACAAATATGTATCGCCACAGCAAGTGACCAGACAAGACTATTTTCAAGAAATCAGAGTGAAGAAACTCCCCCCCCCCCCCACCCCCTCATTTTTTATTTAAAAAAGAAACCCAACCAAATTTTTAAAAAATTTAAAATGCCTCGCCCAGACAAACTGTAACCACGAAAACATTCAATGCAGCCAGTGACAGGCCTAAGCCTATATATACGGGGCGGGAAAATATAAACTGAGCATTGTTACACCTCTAAAACCTGTATGATAAACTGATGGACCACAATTAACAACTAAGTACATTTGAACGGCTCTATAAAGAATGAGAGAGACAGACAGACAGACAGATACACAGAGAGAGAAAGAGAGAGAGAGAGAGAGAGAGAGAGAGAGAGAGAGAGAGAGAGAGAGAGAGAGAGAGAGAGAGAGAGAGAGAGTTGTTCAATATGTAGTTGAGGGAGTGTGCTCATTTACATGTGTGGTCGGCCAGCTGTTTTAGCCAAAAAATTATGCCTGTTTAAATTAACCTTAGTCCGTAGCATAGGTTGCTTGTGCTCAAGAAATGTGTTGTCGAAATTAATATGTAAATACTAGATGTGTGCTGAAGTTTATGTCATTGCGTTTTAACTTAGTATTTTACCCCCCTGGGCGGTGCCACTGACTGAAGTGTCTTTAGGCCATTCCCAAAGGGGGGACATTTCTCAGTCAAGCACAGTAGAATTGTAAATTGGCTGATTCATCAATGTAATGCTCATAACTGTGCCTGATCTACACCAGGGAACTGCTGCCTTTTCTTTCTTACTCCTTACTATTGTCATTTTTCCTCTACTTCTTTTGTATGTTTGTCACACTCTTGTGACCCGCTATTTCTGGGGTGCCTTGAAAGTCGAAACAGACTTAGTGCTGTTTAAGCTAGAGAGGTGAGCAGAGTAAGCCTGATTCCTGGTAATGATTTTTCTGTTGACATCCACCCCTTGGCGCTCATATGACCTTATTCAGTTGCGAGTGCCGTAAAACCTCTACTAAATTTTATAAAAACTGAGTATTTTGTTTCTGCCTTCTTAATATTCAATTTGTTTCCGGTTTGGATCAAGACATTTACCCATTCTATTTTACCTTCTTTGGCAAGTCTTGCCATTTGCTATTAATTTTGTTCGTGGTTGGTGGGTGCTCTGGTGTGGAATGTTCATTATTAAACTTATTTCCTATCAAATATCTATCGTTCTGATCTCTAATTCATTTTGTGATTGTTACTCTCTTTTGTTACTCTAATTTTGGACACTTATATGACCTAATTGTGTTGCAAGTGCCATATAACTCTCACTAAAAAGTAAAATAAACCAACAATTCCTTCATTCTTCAGGGAGACAAGAATGTCAGAACCAGTGATTCGAAATCCTATGTTTCACAGTTATTCCCTCGAAAAGTCGCATGATTTCTCAAACAATGGAGAAGCTGATAACTTCCGTTTTCAGAAAGTAGAGGTACGTTGTTTTCGTTCCTTTTGCCAGGGCTACGTTGTTGTTATCTATACGTCAACCTCTTTTATACAATAGGACATAAAAATGTTGAGTTAATTTTGTCATTTTAAACAATGGGGAAGCTTGGTTCCCACCAGATCTCTGGTTCGCACACGGTAGTGCTGTGAAAAGTGGATAGTTCCACAAAGACACCAGCAATTTATGGTTTCACCTGTATCACTTAAACCTGCTGAAAAGTTCGAAGGTCATCCTTTTATCATGAAAGACATCGAAAGCAGACGAAAATTCGCACCTGGGCTATCAACAAAGAGTATCAATGGCTGTAATTTCCAGATAAAGGCCAACATGGTACAGCATTATGAAGGTCATAGCTATTGTTGGAGACAAGAACACTGGTGTTGCGAGCTCTAAGTTCTATCAATTATTTCCTTTCCCCCATATTTTTTTCTATAGTACTGTTGGCCTAAATGAGACGTTTTGGGTGTCTGTATTATTATAATAGTGTTAGTATAGTTTGCAAATAAAAGTGAAGTACCAAGTCAATAAATTCATAATTCTTAATTCAGCAAAACTTGTCTAAATTAAAAAAAAACACACATACACACACACACACACACACACACACACACACACACACACACACACACACACGCACACACGCACAAACACACCCACACAGCCCGATAAGGACTATTAAAGAGATGAATACGCTCGAACATTGACAGTATCTTATCTGTCAGGATAAGTTTTGCATTTTGTAAATTATGAGGAACAAGATCCGAGATAAGAAGATAAGAGCACTGCCTGGCCATTTCCACCTGTGTCAGATTCAGAAAGCTAGTATAAAGAAAATGAATGAAGGGTTATGTTGCATAGTTCCATGCCTAGCGCAATCTCCTTTTGATAATGGGCAATCCGATCTGCAGCATTAGATAAGAATTTGAATTACAAGAATTTTGAGGAAGTTCTTTTGTTTGAAAGAGCGAAAAAAATGATTTTTTAAAAATCACTAGACTGAAGTAGGTAAGTCTATTGATTGCAAAATACAAACGAAAAAAACTTTTCTGTATCAAGATTCAAACTATCAAGCCCAAAACAAGTGAAGACCAAATAAAATAAATATGCATTTTGCCTACATAGGCACTACTGTGTATCCAATGTGTCCCAATTCTATTTCAGCACTCCAAGCGCAGACGCCCGGTATCTCCAAGACAGGTACAACAGTTCGCACACCCAGGGCCAGTGTCACCCCGTTTCAGTAGACATCATGCTGAGGGTCCTCCTTCGCGCATCGACACATACCACCAGCGAACACAAGGCAAACAGGGTGACGAAGTGAACTCTCATGCTCATTTTTCAGGACCCAGCTGGAAGTTTCAAGACGGCCAAATCGACGTGAGCGCTTCCAAAGAGACCAGATTTCTACAGTCACATTCACGAGTGGAACACTCTCAGATGGCTGAGACAATTGACATGAAAAGGAACAAAATGAACCGAACGCATATCGAGGGCTTCACCTCTCGAGATCTTCCTCTGAAAAGACCGGCAAGTCCAACCGACTGTTTTCGTGGAGACTTTTCCGGCACAAAGAGGGGTAATCGCACGGAGAGATCAAAGCCCCCATGTTCCGTACGCGGCCATCACGGAACGTTCGATCACTCGAGTCATGACAGACATCGACCGCAGAAGACAAGTCGCAGAAGTCGTGTGGTGCACCAGGATTATAATCAAGTATATGAGGATTATGCTAACGATGAATATGAGGATGAAGATGATGTTGAAATCATATCGTCACGTGCTCATTTGTATGAGAAAAATAATTCAAGACAACGAAGTGGTTGTAACACGTGCTGTAAGGACGTGGTTGTCAAAAAAGAATGTCCAGACATAGAACCTATGAAGTCGCATTCCATGAGTGACAAGTCTTCTGTTGGTCCACAATTCGACACCAGTAAAATTCCTACCAACGCGCTTGACGCAGAGACTTTGGCTAAGTTTACAGAGTACACCAAAAATATGCGTAAAGACCTCCGAGACAATTACAAAAGTCTTAGTATCTTGATGAAAGATATTAACTCTGTTGTCCTTGAACGCAACAACACAGGAGCCAACCAGGATTTGCAGACCAGCGTGCTGACGGGGAACACAGACGAGAAGCAGGACAAGCAAAAAGACCCACGATGCTCAATTATGTAGTGCTGTTGACAGATTTTCTCCATAGAGGGAAGAGGAGTGTGAAGATTTAATAATTAACAGTTTCTTCGACTCGGAAATCGACAGTTACAACACACATAAAAAAGGGTGACAGTGAGTGAGTAAATGGGTGAATGGGTGAGATGGCCTTGATTGAGGGAGGGTGAATCTTTATGTGTG